GGATGGCTTAGAGGAAGTAAAATGAGTTTATCTTTTTGGAATTCATCCCAAAGAAAGTGCCTCATATTTATATTGGCCCCTTTCATTTCTCTAAGGAATTTCACATTTATTTTCATGATGCATTTTTTAATTTTAAAAAATATTCTGTATGTTTTATAGATTTATAACCCSAGAACACTTTTATTCCATAATTAGGAAGGGATAAATTTTCCATAATTATCTTTCAATTTCCCCTAACCTSTATATGCTCAAATTATTTTTTTCTTCACATTTTCTATTTCACCTTTGGTTTTGTTCTGATTTTTTTGGTGGTGCCCAGTACCAAATTCAGGGCATTGTGTGTGCTAGACAAGAGCTCTACCACCGAGCTACATCCCCAGCCCTACCCTTTCCTTTTAAATGTTAATAAAAGATGTCAAAATATCCAGTGCAGTGGCTTTCAAACACTGTTGACCTTGAGCTATATTATATGCCCATCATGATTTCATAGTAAAATATCTGTCATGTGAGGCAAAAGTTTCATGAAGCAACATTTATCATCATTCTGTTGTATGTACTCTGATATATCCTGTTCAGTTCGATTTATTTTTTATCTTTTAATTCTCATATTGGCTCTTGCATTTTAAACTTAGTGGATCAATTCCATATGTGCTCCAAAATATAATGAAGCAAAAATGGTCAAAGGATCTGGATACAAACACACGCTCAGAGATGAAGTCGAGAACCAACCCCGACCTGTGTGCCTGCACATGTGACCCAACAGGGGGTGGACCAGAAACCACGTGTGCCCCCAAAGTCTCACGGGTGCCCACAGGCAGGTTATGTTCTCACCTGAGCTCCGCTGCCTGGAACCCTGGGACAGCACTTCCCTGAGTTCCCCACCCCCCAACAGCACTTGATGGGGCTGGAGCAGCTGAGCATCCCAGAAAAGAGTCCAGTCTGCTCTGCTCTGGCTCCCCCACCCCCACCCTGCCACCACCCTCATATCCTGACACCCCAGCTTAGGGTCTCTCATGAAGTGCCAAGGCCAACAGGCTGACAGGGTCTCCACTCTCACCACTGCTTCTTCCTGAGCATTAGAAGGAAGAATCCCCGGGATCTTCTTCCCAGTGTGGTTCAGTTCAATGGGCGTCGACCATGAATGAACTCCGCAGACTCAAAATACTCAACAGAACACAGGCTTGAAGCTTAGAAATGATGTGCCTGCCTCAGAAAAAGCACCTTAAACTGAGGGAGATTTATCCCAGGCTTAGCACCATCTCAACTGGGATCTCACCTAGAACCCCTGAGTGTTAGGAAATTACATATAATATGAAAAAAAGCCATTAGGTTACTTTCATGTCTAGTAAGTATTAGGTATGCTTTTTTGAAGTCCTTGTGACCTTCCAATCATTTTCTACTGTGAGACCGTAATTGTTGAACCTCCAAACAGCGGGGATTCTTGCAGTGAGAGATCTTGGCCCAGAGGCACGGGGACTAGTGAGAAAGCTACAGAAGATGGCCCAGGTATGGGCATCAGAACGAAGGTGGAGATGGGCAGGAGGGTCTCATTTCCTGGCTACCTAGGAACACTCCCTTATTCRGTACAGTGGGGTCCAGCCTTGATGTGAATTGGAGGGGACACCAGGAACGTCCCTTGCCAGGGCTATGAAGAGAGGACAAGGTATGCTCTGAAGAGGCATGTGGCAGGCAGCAATGTCCCCCTGGATTCCGCTTAGAACAGAACAAATGTAGAATTAACCACAGGGAAATTCACAGGATGAAATGAACTCAAAGAAAATCATTGACCTTAGGCTTATTTCTGAAATTCTTATTTTATGTTCTTTCACCACACTGTCAACTCAACAGATCAGCAGCAGAGGGAAGGAAGGAAGGTCTCTGCCACAGGGAATGGAGTCTGTGACCAGGAGGAGAGCTAGGGTGCATTGGGGGTGAGGGGACACATCATACCTCTGCAGGTAAACACGTGCACTTTCAATCTGGCCTACACTCAGATCAGCAAGATCAAGGGTTCTGTCTTCACATAACTTGAAACTGCATTTGGAGGTCCCATGCCATGCAGCTTACAGCAGGGTTTCCTGTTCGGGGTCTCCCACACCTGAAAACCAGGGCTGGTCAAGCTGACTTTCCCTTCTTGGGGCAGGACTACTGCTTGTTGGATCCTCTGCCATCCTGACTCTGAGCAGAATATAGCACTGTATTCAGTCTGGGTGGGGCAAGGGGAGGGTCTTTCTTTTGTCTCAKGCTTAGGCCAGAAGACCATTCCTTGCTCCTCAATCCTAAGTGTTTGTGGTGCTTAAAGACCTTACCTTTGAGATATTTATCTCTACTAGAGTCTTTGAAGGTCACTTTAAAAGAAAAAAAAAAATTATCCTGGACAAGCTTCTTTGTCCCTAAATTTCTGCAGAAACAACCCAGCTCTGCAGATGCAGGACATTAGCGTGGGGACCAGGGAAGCAACATGGGCATGGATACTTCGGAGTGCTAGCCTGCCACTCCAGGATGTTGCCTGCCCTCTCCAGACCCTGCAGGCTGGGTGGTAGTGTTCTAATTTTGTAGATGAAGGAGTAGTCTGAACTGCACACTCTGCGGGCCAAGGCAGAACGGGAACCCATTCAGCCGAGCTCCGGGACCTCGCTTTACCTCTCGGCTGAACTGCTTTCTACTGAAAAGCTACTGCTGGGGGTGAGAGCGTCCCACTTATGAGCAGTGTGGGACCAATATGTCTGGGTCCATGGTCCTCCCTAGACACTGCCTCCTCTCCTCGATGGGTAATGCTCTTCCTGGTCCTTTTAGCTCCCCAGTCAGCATGTCCCTATCCTCAGTGTCACAGCCCTTTGTCAGATCCCCTTCTCCCTTGGTGCCTTTAGCTGTCATGTACCTGGTTGTCAGAAGGAAGTCTGATAGATGCCATCAGGAGTGCCACGGTTATTAACTTATTAACTATTGTCCTTGAGGAACTGTATCACATGAGTACACAGGAGACTATGGGCCATTCCCCTTTAGTAGCTCTTTTATGGCTGTAAAATGTTTGCTGAGCTCATAATCTACATCCATTCTACCACCGACAGGTTCTAAAAAATCTTTAAAAATGAGGAAAAGCACATCTCTGAGATTTTCAGATGGTCCTAGGTACTGAGTTAATGGAGGGTCATGAGAGTAATGATGGCCGCTGGCCAGCTAAGCCAAAGAGTACAAGACACCGTCATGTGTGATGATTTGTGGTTGAGACGTTTCCTAATGGTTAGTCAAGAAGCCCTGGATTCCACTTAGAACAGAACAAATGTAGAATTAGCCACAGAGAAATTCACAGGATGAAATGAACTAAAAGAAAACCATTGACCTTAGGCTTATTTCTGAAATTCTGATTTATGTTCTTTCACCACACTTGTCAACTGAACAGATCAGTGGCTGCTGAATTTGTACAAACATAATATGACTATCCACAGGGAGCGATTTAATATTGTCTAAATAACTGTGTACTTTTAAAAGTATTTTATTCACATCCCATCTTCCAGCTAGGGGGTAGTTCCCAGAGGGCAGAGGCTGGGACTTCCTGAATTCCACAGCTCCCAAGCTGAACCAGGTGCTGATGTTGATAAGAACAGAATATGTTAATCAGAGCCTATTAGTTGCAGGTAACAGAAACCTATCTCAGCAAGCCCAGCAACAAAGGAAGTGTGTTGGCTCACATAACCAGCAAGGTCAAAGATGTGGTGTTGATTTAGAAAGAGGTAAATCCAGTTTTCAAAGCACTCCACATCCTGCTGGCTGCTTCCCACATTCCCTCCTCCCGRTCTCCTTCCCTGCAGCCTTCCCCTGTGTTTACCTACTTCTCAGGTTTCCACATGCTTACAATTAGACTGACCAGCATCTAGCAATCCCAAAGAGAAGAGAATTTTTCACTTTTTCCAGCATCTCTACCTGTTCCCCAAACTGACCCTCCCTACTTGGATCTGCTTTAAGTCCATTAATGTGGCCAAGGACTTGGGACCAGGTCACTCATGGCAAGTAATATTCGAGAATGGCTGAAAGAATGATAAGTAACAGACATCTGGTGTGACATCAATCGACAGAAGAGTAAGGTTTTTTTTTTTTAAGACAGATATGTAAAGCACTGGAACTTTTGGGCATTACCTGTATTGATAATAAAATCAGCTTATCATAAGATATGAAAACAAAGCAACAGAATGTGACCAGTTCCCATGGGACATGAAGGCAGAGACTTAGAAAGTGCTATGAGGGGTGAGAGTCCCGAAGGTCTTGAAGGTCTGTGAGAGCCACTGGGCCGGGGTGGCCCAAGGAGGACAGTAAGAAGGGATGCAAGGTACCTAGCTACCATGTCTAGGAATCTTTGCGGTAACTGAGATATGGGGAAGATTAAAGGCATCTCAGAAAGTCTAGAATAAATGAGCTTGTTGCCAAACCTTATAAGAAACTAATACACCATGTCGTCAATCCATGTTTTAAAGGGACAGTAGAATGTGAGTTGTTTTACACTTACTTCTGTCTTGCTTTGGTTGGCTTTGCCTATTCCAGTGAGGTTTAAACGGGATGGTATCACTTACAGTTGCTATTTAAAGTCTCAGGCAGGTAAATGCCCAGGTGGATAAAATGCAAATGAACCAAGTTAATTTATCAAGTAGCATGATGAAAACACTATATTGAAAAATTATCATGTAAGCACCTAATATTTCCCCTTTCTAAAATAAAAGAAGTAAGTATGCTGTTTGTCATGGAATTGTATTTAGAAATGGGGAAAATGCAAGGTTCAATAGATCGTACAAGCTATTTGTACCACCTTGAACAAATCCATCTCCATTAGCCCTAGACTCTCCATCCTTAAAATCAGAGAATGAACTGGATAAGGTTCTGCTTCTTTGAGACCCAGCATCCTATTAACACATCTTTTGTGTCTTTTAACGCATGCAAAGGACATATCAAAGGAAGGCAGAAACTTTCCTAACTGCATTTTTTTTCTCTCTCTCTCTCTTTCCCAGACTATGTCAGAGAGTCACAATGACCTTGCACAGTAACAGTACCACCTCGCCTTTGTTTCCAAACATCAGCGCTTCCTGGATACACAGTCCTTCAGATGCAGGCCTGCCCCCAGGGACTGACACTCATTTCGGCAGCTACAACATTTCACGAGCAGCTGGGAATTTCTCCTCTCCCGATGATACCACCAGTGATCCATTGGGAGGTCACACCATCTGGCAGGTGGTCTTCATCGCATTCTTAACAGGCTTCCTGGCCCTGGTCACCATCATCGGCAACATCCTGGTGATAGTGGCATTTAAGGTCAACAAGCAGCTGAAGACAGTCAACAACTACTTCCTCCTCAGCCTGGCCTGCGCCGACCTGATCATCGGGGTCATCTCGATGAATCTGTTTACTACCTACATCATCATGAATCGGTGGGCATTGGGGAACTTGGCCTGTGACCTCTGGCTCTCCATTGACTATGTGGCCAGCAACGCCTCCGTCATGAATCTCCTGGTCATTAGCTTTGACAGGTACTTCTCCATCACAAGGCCGCTCACCTACCGAGCCAAACGAACCACCAAAAGAGCCGGGGTGATGATCGGCCTGGCCTGGGTCATTTCCTTCGTCCTGTGGGCGCCTGCCATCTTGTTCTGGCAGTACTTCGTAGGGAAGAGAACCGTGCCTCCGGGGGAGTGTTTCATCCAGTTCCTCAGCGAGCCGACCATCACCTTCGGAACGGCGATCGCCGCCTTTTACATGCCTGTCACCATCATGACTATTTTGTACTGGAGGATCTATAAGGAAACCGAGAAACGTACCAAAGAGCTCGCTGGGCTGCAGGCCTCGGGGACAGAAGCAGAGGCGGAAAACTTTGTCCACCCCACAGGCAGTTCTCGAAGCTGCAGCAGCTACGAACTTCAGCAGCAGAGCTTGAAACGCTCGGCCAGGAGGAAGTATGGCGGCTGCCACTTCTGGTTCACCACCAAGAGCTGGAAGCCCAGCGCCGAGCAGATGGACCAAGACCACAGCAGCAGTGACAGCTGGAACAACAACGATGCTGCCGCCTCCCTGGAAAACTCGGCCTCCTCCGACGAGGAGGACATTGGCTCCGAGACCAGAGCCATCTACTCCATTGTGCTCAAGCTCCCTGGTCACAGCACCATCCTCAACTCCACCAAGCTGCCCTCTTCGGACAACCTGCAGGTGCCTGAGGAGGAGCTGCGGGCGCTGGATGCCGAGAAGAGCGCCAATAAGCTGCAGGCCCAGAGGAGCGTGGACGATGGTGGCAGCTTTCAGAGAAGCTTCTCCAAGCTTCCCATCCAGTTAGAGTCTGCCGTGGACACAGCCAAGTCCTCTGACGCCAACTCCTCGGTGGGTAAGACCACGGCCACTCTACCTCTGTCCTTCAAGGAAGCCACTCTGGCCAAGAGGTTTGCTCTGAAGACCAGAAGTCAGATCACGAAGCGGAAGAGGATGTCCCTCATCAAGGAGAAGAAGGCAGCCCAGACCCTCAGCGCCATCCTGCTGGCCTTCATCATCACCTGGACCCCCTACAACATCATGGTCCTGGTGAACACCTTTTGTGACAGCTGCATACCCAAAACCTATTGGAATCTGGGCTACTGGCTGTGCTACATCAACAGCACCGTGAACCCCGTGTGCTATGCCCTGTGCAACAAGACATTCAGAACCACCTTCAAGATGCTGCTGCTGTGCCAGTGTGACAAAAGGAAGCGGCGCAAGCAACAGTACCAGCAAAGACAGTCGGTCATCTTCCACAAGCGCGTGCCCGAGCAGGCTCCGTAGAGGAGCTTTTATCCATAGCAGAGACATAAAAACGCACACGTCGACCCACGACCTTAGGYGGAGTCAGGCGAGGGTGGGGGCGACTCCTGGTGATGATAAAAAGAGTTTTTATCAGCCAGATGTGAAAGAAGCTGCCTGTTTACTCACCCACTGAGTCAACCAATTTTAATATAAAGCATCAAATACCAATTCAGCAAAAAAAAAAAAAGGCATACTACTGAATATAAAGAAATTTATTCTGAAATAGACTTTACATGTATTTTTCTTAAAGAGGAAACAAATATTGCTTCACAGCAGTTATACCCTCAAATTGTTTCACCTGGGTCTTTTAATTCCCATTAGCTCTGGAATCACAGAGGAGCCTAGCTGGCCCAGTTATCCCCAAGGATCCCAAGTCGATCCAGCTCCCTCGTGGAATGCAGCAGGCTAGTGAATCTGTGGTTGTGAAATTGTTTCATACATTGCAAAGCTGAACCTTCTTGTCCCGGTAGAGCTTCCGTCCTCTCTTTGGTGTGTTGTTAAACTCTAGTTGTGGACTTGATTCTTGATTCTTGCAAAGTACTGTTCTGTGCAGTTCAAGTTTCTTACAAATAAAATTGCATAAGTATATAAATATATGTATATATATATATTGTGTGTGTGAGTTCTGCATGCACACACATAGTGTATATAACATAATGGAAACACTGAACTGGCAAATTTGTTCTGCAATATATGCTTTCAGTACTTTGGTAACTGAAGTTCTCTAGGATCCTTATATACTATAAAAGTGAAACAACCCAGCTTAATTGTTTTTGACCCTGGGGCTGTTTTCCACTAACCACCCTGAAGAATATTCCACAGAGACCCCAGGCCTCCTGGCAGACCTGTGCACACCAGAGGACCTCGAGAGTCAGTTGGCACCAGGGCTGGGCCAGATTCTTGAGTGCACGCAGCCTCCTGTGCTGATATCTCCATCAAGAGAGCTAAGTGGGGGCCCCTCTGAGCTCAGAAAAAGAACCACATCCACAGGCTCGAATTTAGTCATTGAAATCTCAATATTTCCAAAGTCTCTGCTCTCTAAGCTGCCTGAAATGCAACAGTAGTGTTACATTTGAATGTCATACACAGCAATATATCGGCAATAGATGCATTGTGAGGGAGATGAAGGAGAACGCTGTACTCCATTTCTTGGTACCTGGCACCTTCTAAGAGAAAGCAGGGCTCCCCTGTCACTTAGCTCTGCTAGGGACTTTTGGTTTGCAGTCTGTAACCATCGCCCAGGAAAAGGTGGGGTCTAGGAAGTTACATGTCCTCCGAAGAAAGAATGACATTTGAAAAAGTTGCTTCAAATTGATTTCCTTACATTTTGAAAATCTAATTGTGCATTATCCTTGGATCCCCCCCGAATGCTCAGCGTCCCGGGGGGAGGGGCGGGTGCCGCTGCTCTAGCTGTCCTGTCGCTGCTGTATCATTGGGGTTCCTTCTTTTCTTTTTGCTGGGGCTGAGGGGGKCGGGAGGGCTGCCGAGAACCCTTTCCTTTGTTCGGGGGCATCCGTGTCATGGACCCAAAGCTGGGCAGAAGCTGCTTTCGTATTCAGTGTGAGGTGGTGTTTACAGACGACTTTGACAACAGTGAAAAGTGTCCTCAGTGGCGTGTGTGTATCTCAACTATTTAATGTCGTGTTCTGTTTATATGAAGAACTATTTATGCATATTTCACCAAGTGTTTATTTAATGTTGATAAATATGACTTCTGCAGCCATGGTGTCCTTTGAAAGTGATTTTTTTTAAGGTCCACTTGAGCAATGAATAAAGTCTATTGAGCTTTTATGTGGCTAAGAAGAAAAAAAAAATGTCATCCTGTTGGCATCCACAAGTTCCTAAATCTTTCTAGGTAATAAAACGTCAACTGTCACTTGAACAAACAAAAGTGTTTAAAACCACTTGTTAGTTACACCTGATGGGAACGGAACAAAGCAATTCCCCATCGTTGTGTGAAATTATATTACAAAGTAAAAAAACAAATCAGCATAATTGTAAGAATTGATTCTTTTTTCTTTTTTCTTTTTTTTTTTTGACCCACATTCAACCAAAGAACAAGAGAAACTAGAGACTATTTTCTAATGTGTATAGCAAACTACAGAATGTTATGTTATCCACCTGTGAAACGTCTAGTAAGCAATTGTGTTTATATTTTATTACTCAAGTTGGCCTGGCACTAATAAACATGTGAATGCTTATTCATGTCTCCAAGTACGTCAGTCATCCCCGTCCTGGTGAAAACTTCCATCCGACTCCTTCCCCAAAGGGATGTTCCTGGTGTTTAATAAGAAAATACCAAACAAAATTAAGTTTCAGAGGCAGAGGAACTCTGAGAATAGGCAGAACTTCAATAGTTAATTAGGATTTTCTTCAGATATGATCATCTCCTGATTCTTGTCCTTTTATGATGCTGACAATGACAGAAAAGAAGCAAACCCAAGACTCCAGATCCCCCTTTTTAGTGCTGATTTTATTATAGAACTGTTTTTAAGTGTCTTATGGATGAAAGCTTCTCCTGACCACTATACACTTACTGTTTAGAGTAGGAAAACAAGCAAAAGACTTTTTTGGATATGAAGAGTGGAGAAGCTTAAGTATTTTAACTGGTCATTTGTCACACAGTCCTTTCTCAAAGGGCTTGTGATTAGAAGAGGCCATTCTGCATTTATAGATGATCAAATATCTTTATCCCCAGCCTTGGAATTGGATCATTTCAAACCTGTGAATAAGGTTTACCAGGATTTTAGGATTACCATTTTCACTGAGACAGGAAAATGCTCAAACCTAAAATAAACACATGGAGACTCAAGCAGCCTCCCACCCTAACCCCCTATTCTTGTTCTCTCTCTGTCTCTCTCTCCTCCAGGCCTTGYCTGATGGACAGGAGCAGTGAGCTCTCTGCTCCCTGCCTCCTGCCCTCTTGCCTGTCTTTGGCTCTGTGGACTTCGTGCTCCTTTTCCCTACTATCACAATCACCCCTCACCTCTTGAACCCAGCCTTGACTCTCTACACAGGTTGCATTTCTAGATTTCTAGTCCCTCCTTAATGTATAACAGTTCCAACTCGAACAGAAAAAAAAAAAAAAAACAAGAAAGCAGGAGCATGGGCATCACAGTGCTGAAGGTCCAGAAGGACCTCAGGGTCCTCTGTCCAACTTCCTGTGCTGGAGGCAGCAGGTGGTTGCCCTTCAGAGGGGAGTAAGTTCTGCAGCAGAGTTGGTCACCTCCGCAGGCCTCTGGGAGGGAAGAGGATGCCAAGGCTCTGGTCCACAGTGAAGCCTGATGCAGAGGAGGAGCCCGGGGTCATACAGGTTATCCTGGACTTAATCTGAGTAGAGTTGATTCAAAGATGCAGACATAGTACTGAGGAGTTGAATAGTCCAGGACTGGCAAATTCCAAGGAGGACTGGGGGTGAGACAGAATAGTCACAGAAGCACTGAATTGAAGATGGCCAAGTTCTTGGTCTTGGTCTGGTCCATGCAGTTACTTATCCTCAGGCATGCTTGTCATTTTACCCAGGGTCCCTGGGTTCTCTGCCCATGCTCACTTAAGCCACKCGGACAGCAAATAGGTCAAAACTAGGAAGAATGTGAGATCAAGAACTGCTAGGATTAATGTAAAATGGAATAACTGATGAACACTTGAAATTTTCAGATTTTGTACATCCACAAAATTATTAACTTAGATATTTTGACACACAAAAATATCTAAAAGACTCTTGAAATTTGTTGGTAAACTTGGAATTCCATCATTTCAAATACCACTCTAATAAGCCACCATCACCTGAGTCCTGAGACCCTTACAAAGAGTTGCTGGGTAGCAGAAGCTCACTGGGTTTTGCGATGGCATTTCTTAATAGTACTGAAGCTTCAAAACAGGTATCCTAAAAAAGAAAAAGAAAAAATCTTTAAAGTTACCTTTTGTTTATCCTGTACTTCTGCCCCAAAGAAGAGTCTTCTCCAATGCAGTTTGCAATGAACTTTTCTAAACAGGATTAATCTCAGCCCATACTAGGTTCAGGGATAGCTTTATAGGGACTCAGGTCACACACTCTCTTCTTCTGTCCATGATTCCGAATATTCAGCTCTAGGAAAACTAATGCTGAATGAGGAAATAGCCCACACCTYGGAGCCAGCTTCCCAGGATGGTCACACATGGCTCCCTAGAACTGGAGAATTCCATTTGTTTTTTCTGGCTTTGAGAAGGGAGGCTCATGTTGGGATAAAAAGGTGGAAAGACCAAGTTCATAAAATGACTAGACTCAGCCAAGGTTTGCAGCAGCACAATTTTTTGTTGACAAGTTTCCCAATGAGCAAGTGTTAGCACTGCTAGTTAGACATGCATCAGAGTTCACAGCTCCGGCACTTGGGTAAGTGAAAGTAGACTTCTAAGAACTTTATTATGGCCTCAGTCCTGCTGTTCTAATAGAACCTCAAAGACTCAGCTCAGAGTTCTCACGCTACCACTCTGGCCTAGGCTGGGACCACCCAGAATCACCCAGATATCCAAAGAGGCTCACATCTCAGTTGCACAAAACTTTCTCAGTAGATTAATGCAAAAGGTGGCCATACTCTCAATCACAAAGAAGTATTAGTAAAACTTGCCTCACCCAAATTAGAATCCAGTAACCCCATCTAAAACTAAAGAGATTATCTCCAGAGTATAAAATTGTAGTGTTGTTCTTTCTTGAAGCCCGACATACTTGGCAGTTTTTCAATTCACATACCAAACCCCAAACTCTTTTTTCTCCTGAATTCTGTGAGTTCCTCAGTAATGGAAAACGGATCTTACCCATCTCTGAATCCTATGTCCAGCACCGTTATCTGGTAAATAGCAGACATTCAGCAGGTATTGTTGAATGTTTAATAACCTCCGTATTAATTGATATACCAAATATTTATCAAACAAATATTTATGCACGTCATTGTCCCATGCTGCTGGTATAGTCAGGATTCATCTAGCTGGGAAGGAAAAGTGGCTCATAAATATCATGGTTAATGAAATATCACTGAGCAGTAAGAAGAAATATTTTAAACACATTTAAGTAGTGAATAAATCATTTAGAGTCCAAAAGAAGAAGAGCAAGCTCTCTTTTATCCCTAGAACTCCAAAACTTTTTAGCAGATTGGTCAAACAAGAAGATCCACTTGCTGCATGTCCTAGTAAGTGCAGGGTCAGCAGGGC